GGACAACAAACAAAGACTAATTGTTATTCAGATCACGGAGTGGAAGGGACTTTGGATCATATGCAAAAGATTTTGATGAAGAAACTTGGCGACAACTATTTACGGGAATGCTAACTGGTGGCGTGCAGTTCTGATATGATGGAGTTGGCGCAACACAATTTTCATTTCTTTTATCGCCATTTGGGGCATGCATTCCAGCCATTCTAGTTATACTCAATCTAGAATTATCCATATTTTCATTCACCACTATGCATTTCCCTTTGTTCTGCTTCGTATTTGAAGACAAACAACTTTCAAATGCTGCCAATCATAAAGTTAAATTTTTAAATATTTAAACCTTGTATATCAATATTGATAACCACTACATACAAATTAATAATTAGGACACCAGAAAAGACTAACCATTTTTCAAATTTGCTACTGGAAGGGACTTTGAATTATATGCAAGAGGTTTGGATTTCAAAATCTGCCCAGAACTCATTATGGGGTAGATAATTGATGGTGTGAAATTTTGATATGATGGAGTTGGCACAACATGTCCATTTATTTTTTGGCCATTGCAGTATGCATCCCAAACATTCTAATTGTACTCAGTCCAGATTTATCTCTATTCTGATTCACTAATATGCCTTTCCCTTTGTTCTGCTCTTTATTTGAAGGCAAACAACTCTCAAACGCTGCCATTCACAAATTAAAAATTCAAATATTTAAACATTCTAGATAAATATAGATAACCATCACATTCAAGTTAAGAAATAAGATCATAAAAGACTAACCATTTCTCAAATCTCGTAGTGGAAGTGACTTTAGATTATATTCCAAAGGTTTGGAGGAAAAAACCTGTCTACAAGTTGTTATAGGGATGCCAACTGGTGGGGTACAATTCTGATATGATGGAGTTGGCACAACAACATGTCTATTTCTTTTATCACCATCTAGAGCATACATTCCAGCCATTCTAATGGTACTCAATCCAGATTCGCCTGAATTCTCTTCAGATGTGCCATGACATATATTTATGTTGATTGACATATTTGTTCTCATTACATTCCTTTGTTTCCTCATTTCATTGACATCATCTTTTAGAAAGCACCTCTTGCGTCTCGACTGGGAAACTGTTCATGAAAATTTTCAATTAAGATAAGCTTGATATATATGAAAATATTTAGTAAAAATTAACACCCTTAGATTTAGAGGAACTGACCATTTGTCATATCAGACAAAGGAGGACATCTGTTTTCTTTTTCGTTAGCATTCCCTCTGCCATTTGTGGGATCAACATTCTCTGTACAACACATGAAATTTTCGAAAATGAGTTACAGAAAAGGAATAATATAAAATAGTTCAACATACAGTCTAACAAAAGATATAAAGCTTCATGCTCATTTCATACTTTGCTGGACCAAAAGAATTTCTCGATCGAAATACGCAATGGTTAAAAAATTGGATCATAGAAAGCCTAAACCTTCTTTTTTCCGAATTCATATTTTTTATGATGTAGAAGACAGTACACGAAAATGAGAATGTATTACTAATAAAATATGTCAATTCTCAGTTCCTGGAGAAGAACCCTTGATTTGTATTAGAATATTTTGTGTTATAATTTAGGGTTTATATCTAACATCGATTAATTTATAACACGGAAAAGGTTAAATACATCAAATCTAAGCGCGGCAATATAAGTTTTTACCATTGCGATCCGAGAAGTGTTTAGTCCGCTTTTGATTTCGTATGCATATTCTGTTTGTTCTTGCCAATTTCTTCGGATCTTCCATGTCCAAGTAGCTTTGAAAATGGATTTCTGCTGAGAATTGAGAAATTTTTAAAGAGAGAGAGAGAGAGAGAGAGCGCGAAGAAGATTTGGTAATTTTTATGACTGGGACAGCGCGAAGACGATTGGGTAAATCAGGAATTATTTTAGAGGCATATGTGCTAATATGTTTTAATTTTTTGGATTTCTGAATTTCCCGATCCTTTTAATTTAGAGAAAGATATACCCTAGTGGTCTTAAGTTTTAGTTTCGCATACCTAACGTTTTCCTTTTTCTATTTTTCTCATTACATTGAACAAATCTTTATAAGCCAATATCTAGTTAAATTTACTTTTACTATTTTTTGTTACTGAACAAAAATGGAAAAAACATGAAGCCACATTAAAGCTATTTTAGTTATATTTCAAATGCAGAAAATAATTGCACGCACAGAGCGAAGCCAGGTTTTTTAGTTTATTAATTGTTATTGAATCTGTGTTATTTACATGATTATGAAAAGATACTTTGTACATATTAAATAAATAGTGAACGCAAATACATAATTTGATCGGTTCCCTGCACACACATACTTAGATTTTTATGAGAAATAGCATAAGCAGAATCATACAAAATTAATTACTACATAGCAGAGTGTACAGCTCTCTAAGAGCCTTAGTATTTGAAATGTGATCGCCTTTAAAGTGATTCCTACAGGTTTATAGACTTGATTATATGTAGCGATTGGCTTCTTCTTGTTCTTGATTTTCTTTGGTATAATTATATTTTTCATTGGTAAGCCTAGTGTATGCGATAGATAGTTTGAATTAATGCCATCCTTTAAGTGTTGTTTATTTTGAAATAATTTTTACGGTGTTACTCTAAACCAACTATAGATTTTCATCTTTTATGTGTTACTGTAATCTTTCTGCGTCCCCAGTTTCGATTGTATCCTTGTCTTGGCAGCTAACTTAGCATATACTGATATGGCTTTGTTGCAGTTTAGCTATGCATGCGATAGATAGTTTGAATTAATTCCATCCTTTAAGTGTTGTTTATTTTGAAATAATTTTTACGGTGTTACTCTAAATCAACTATAGATTTTCGTCTTTTATGTGTTACTGTAATCTTTCTGCGTCTCCAGTTTCGATTGTATTCTTGTCTTGGCAGCATATCCTTCTTATGCATTCTCATCTTGTTTCCTCTGCAATAAGAAATGTATAAAACAGTAGTCTTTTATGTTACATGTTACATTTTAGTGTCAAATCTGGTGGTAAGTATATGGCAGACAGTGTGATAAATGCTCCAAATTTGAAGGAAATCTTCATTTGAACATTCTGCTACCTAATCCCTTATTTGGAAGTTAAAGACTTCTTTCCATTAATGAAAAGATCTTCGTAATTAGAACTAAAGATGGCTTGTTGAGGTATACATTTCTCCAATGATCTCTCTTTATCTTATTAATTTGCTTTTCAAATATTAACCAAATAGTTTTGTGTTAGATTAAATGTTACTAATACACACTTTTATCTTGAGAAAATTGTTGTTAGCACTTTGATTGCCTCAGTCAAATTCTGAATATGGAGATGAACCAGTGTATTGTCGTTTACTGAAACTTTTACTCATTCAGTCATGCTTAAAACAGATATAACAACTCTAAACAATATTGATGCACATGCTATAAGGATTTTCGTGCGTCTTCCTTTCTTGCTAATATCAAGAAACGATTTTAATTTGATTGTAATATTAGCAAGAAGTGAAATGTTATCTGATATTGTAAATTGATTGATGAAACGATTTTACTTTGCTGATATCCCATGCTATAAGTAATATTAGCAAGAAGTTAAATGTTATCAGATGAAGACGTAAATTCATTGATGAAACGATTTTACCTTGCTGATATCCCATGCTATAAGGATTTTCGTGCGTCTTCCTTTCTCTAGTTTGTGTGTGCTGAAAGAAATTTGCAACACAATAATTTGACTGTGCCATTTTATTATGTTGCAAATAATATTTTGACTGTGTCATTTGGCAATTCACTTAACTGAAAGAGAAAATAACTCTTCGATGCACCTTTCGTGTGACAAGTCTAATAAGACAGCCAAAATATGGTCATATCAAGGAGCTTCATAAAGCTGTCAAGATGTGCGAGAAAGCCTTAGTTTCTGCAGATGCAGCAATCACATCCTTAGGAAACCTTCAACAGGTATAAAATTCTACATTGGTGTCATTAATCTTTTTGCCGTGGTTTATTATCAGCATTTTTTCATTGAATATTTGTTGTTACTGTAGGCATACGTGTGCTCTTCAGAGACAGGGGATTGTGATGCTTTCCTGTCAAACAATGACTGGAAATCTGCTGCAAGAGTAACTTTCGACAAAATGCACTATAATTTGCCTCCTTGGTCCATTAGCATCCTTCCTGAATGCAGAAATGTAGTATTCAACACAGCCAAAGTAACGTAATACATCGGCTAGGAAACATCTGTACATTCAATAATACTCATTAGCTGCTTTAGCTTCTTATAAAAGTTTGTGATTATTAGCTTCACTATTTCTGCTGATTAATGTGATCGCGTGTACTGGTGATGCTGACTCAGACGCGATGCAAGACTATCTTATCCTATTTTTTGTGCTGCCAATAAATCTACAAATGATAGCAGTTCTTTTTTTCTCAGTGTTATATATATCTCTAAAGGTATTGTTATTTCCTTGTTGCAGGTGCTGAAGTTGCTGTTATTTGCCTAACAACGTCTGGTGAAGTTTTGAATTATAAGGCATTCACAAAATACATGGGGATATATAGAGTGGCCGAGACAATGCCAGAGATTGATCGTTGGAATGACTGACTTGCAAGACTCTAGGCATCAGACATGCTCCGGATATATACATATAGTATATTGAGAGAACTAAAGATGGTGTAGCAGACATGACTTATAATAGTATCGTATATCGGGACCGATTTCAAATAACTTGATTTTGTAGCATGTGCATTACATTTTTGTTGTTATTGTCCCATTTTATTGGACTCTAATATCTGTTACATGAAATATATATTAGAAGTTTGAAGTCTGACAAACACAAGTAGATGCAGAAACCTTAACTACACAAAGACACTTACTGAGCACTTGATTCATTCACTTAACTCACATATAACATTCAAAAGTTACTTCTCTGTCATTTTTTGATGATATTATAGCATAAATGTTCACCATTTATATTAATGGAATATTTCAAAAAATATGCAGTTGCACTTCTGACATAAGTGAAGTTCATATCACAAAGAGTCAAGTAATTTCAGATATTAAATCATGATCCTAAATGGTAGAAACCAAATTAAAATACAAACCAAACTACTTGAAATTGTTCCAAAGTACTTGCTAATGAAATAGTACGATTAAAGTCATAATCCCAAAAGTAAATGTTTCAATTTACGGATTTTTCTCCTGTTTGATCACTTTTTTAAGCTTGTTACTTGAAAATTGTGCAAGATCATCACCAACATCTACTACAGATGATCCATCCTCTTCTCTACTTCTTTTGGCAGGGGTATTTGCAGGAGAAGTCATATCATTTTCAGCCATTGAATCCTACAAAGGAAAAATTAATTATTAAAAATCATATTGTAGATAAGAAACTATACAGGCAAAGTTTGGATTAGTCACCTTGAAAGTTGTGTCTGCATCAGTGTGTTGTTGACACTCAAAATCAGGGTCCTATTAAGAAAATAGTAACATAATTAATTTAAACTTGATAATCCCTTATATAAAATCAAAAGGAAAATTAGTGTATTATGAAGTATTTGAGTATCGATCACATACAGTGAATGTATCATCTTGTGCAAATTGACTATATTGATGTATAAGGTTATCGTCCTCGCTGATTTTAACAACATTATAAACTTCCGCATGCACTTTAATGTTGGAGCTCTTGGCAGTCACTTTAAATAGGACTTTTTTGTCAAGAATATCATACAACTCCACTGGATAAGAACACTCATCAATAACAGTAGAAGCCTAAGACCGAATTAGTGTTAGAAATGGCAAAACACAAAGAATTACCTTTCTTACCTTTTATTGAAAAAATATAGTAACAATTAAAATAAATAAAATATACCTCAATTGAAATTTCATTTAACTCATTAGCAGACTTCCCAATGAGACTTGTTGCTTCACGATCCCAAGGCAACAAAGATATAAAGCCAGTGTGATCCATCACTTGCACTCGAAGCTTGTACCTGAAAGAGACGTTTAGAATAAGAAATTGAAACTTTAGTTTCATTTAATA